GGACTGTATCAACCCCTATTAAAGCCAAAACATATCACATCTATTTATTCCCTATTATCCATTAGACCAATTACCCTGTCAAAGGAGAAAATTAGATTGGTTTGACATGATTTGTTCTTGACAAATTCATGTTGGCTGTTTCTTATCACCTTATTGTCCCCTAGGTGCTTACAAACTGATACTTTAATCATTTGTTCTAGATACCAAGCATAACCTAAATAGGTTTTAAGTCTTCTGGTCCTGCTTCTTTCCCCATGAAAGTTAGAACCATAGTAAAATCCTGTGGAGCTTATCCTCCAAAAAATCCTTCACTATTCTTTTACCGGAACAGCACTTTTTGAATCCTGACAACTTCAGACAGTTGAACTGTGTATCGATTCAGTGGTATCTTTGCTTTATAGAGATGGAGAAAAACAAGATTAAAAAAACAACAAATAAGGGCTCCACAATGAGCATTCAGCTCATGATTTTCAGGAGAATATTACTACTGTTGCTATTTAAGTCAAACAATAATTTCTGGCTAACATGTTTGGAAATACTTTTACAATGTATCATAATGGAATTCAAGTCCTGTGAGTACATAAAACGCTGCCCAACCTTTCTCTCAAGGCAAGCTGGATTATCACTCAGCCATCTGCATTAAAGGAGAGGGCAGAGAAAGAGAGAATCCCTTTGCAAGAATTGACCTTGTTAACAGACAGTCACTACCTTGATCAAATGATGAAATTAAAAATGTGGGTAAACGAAGGTCAAATAGTCAAGACAGGTGATCAAAAAGTGAGGAAAAGTTAGTAAGCTCTTTTTTTCCAAGCCATGGGGTTGTTTGTTTTTTTTTTTTTTGTTGGGGTTTTTTTGTTGGTTTTTTTAGTGATTGCTCGTGTTAGCACAGAATTTACTCCTACAACTACCTGTAGGCACATGAGTTGTCGTACTGAAGTCAGCTGGACTTCATTTTACAGGGTGCTTTTAGCAGATGTTTAATGTTTACTACAAAGCATATATTTAACAGTTCTGAACTGGTGCAACAGCTCTCAGCAGCTGCCAAAACCTAAATGGCAACTCACACACTTGCAGCTAAGCACATACTTAAATGTTTTGCCCTGTACTGGATGCACAATGTGAATGTAAATGTTATATATAGATCTCTCTCAATGCAAAAAAAAAAAGAAAAAAAAAATCACTGCTTGAATCAGACTCCACAGAACCTACCTCTGCTGTTCTAATGTTTTTTCTCAGCATGGAGAGGCTTTGGTTACTTGCTCATTCCTCCCTTCCCTTGTATGAGAAGATTTATTTTAAAAAGAAATAGTGAACACACAGCTGTCATGAAGATTTATAGATAAGTCCTTTGGAAAGAAGCTAAACAATTTTAGACTATTGTACTGCCTTTTCTCATTTTTCTTTGCAATGTAATTTTGATACCATGTAACCAGAAAAAAAGTGCTTCTGCTCTGAAAGAAATCTGTATCAAAGGGGAGAAAATTCTGTATTCTCTGCAAAAATGAAAAATCTCACAGACCAGTTTTATTGTAAACATTTTCATAATACTGTCATGCAGTAGGTAAATGGAATTTCTATTCATTACTCTCTGATAAACCCTATCTCCAGCATCTAAAAATAAAGACACATTGGTAGAACAGCCCCAAAGCCCTAGGTTTCTGAAAAACTATTTATTGTTGTTATGGTTTTAAATCATGTTAAAAAAAAATGCCAGAAATGAAAGGTAGGAATATTCAGTAAATGAAAACTTCTTCTTCATAATAAAAGAAAAAATTACAATGTATGTGCTTGCCATTCATATACTAAAGTTATCAGAAAATGATAGCTAATAGCTCTTTTTCTTCAAAGCAATCTTTCCCTTAAGTCTCAACATTACATTTTTAGTTTAGCACATTTTTGCTTCAAAAACTGGTGGACATTCAGAATTACGCAAGCAACTGAGGAACTTAGCTCTGCCTATTCCCCTCACATTGCAGAAAAGCATTTCTAAATTGCAGTGGAACTCTGCCTACTTATTATTTCTTGAACTGCCTCAGCAGAGCACTATGTGATTTTCAGCAGTAATAACTATATGCACTGGAATGAGAAGAGACCATCAAAAAGATCTCTCTTCTGTGTGGTAGGGAAAAGGGGGGGGGGGGAGATATAGTCCCAGGTTAATCACTGGACAGCATTTGGATCATAATCTCTACATCAATCAGCAACACTGGGGTTGCTTTAAAAATTAGGTGAATATTAAAAGTGGAAAGTGAAAGATACTCAGCAAGAAGGCCTCCCCATTCCATAAAGTTAATGATATTGATCAGCTTTGAGAGAGGGGAGCATTAGAACAATCTTCCACTGAACAGTGTTGGCAAATCGGAGTTCAAGTCTCTATCACTTGAAGGTGTGAAGGGACAACTAAATATCTGCTTAACAGCTTTTCTTCCATGAGTTTCCTGTGAACAGTATAAATGAATAGATTTCTTCTGAAACCAGTTTTTTGGACACTGTAGATGAGACTGAAAATGGCCACTGCTTCTTCCCCCTCTCTTCTTTGTAATCCTTTCTAAGAGCAGCAGAAAAGGAACAGTATGGGAGCATACCAGTCCTCTGCGTAAGAAGTATCAGTGTCCGCTGATATCTTGTTTGCTTCTGTGTAGAAGAATTTTTATTTCAAACATTTTATTCTGGAAAATGCCTAGCTCCTGTCAGCTGGAAAATTTTCCACTCCATGTATCAATCCCAGTTGCGTATCTACTAATGACTAAGTTATTTTAATGATGTGTTCATCCTCTCTTTTGTCTGGATCTTTTTGCAGACTAACAAACAGTATACCCTCTTTGAAAGGTGGTGTTTCACTTTGGTATGTAACACCGAAGTGTTTGATGTCTCTTGCAGCTATGTACTATGTATGATTCAGCATGACATGCTTTTTCTTAAGACAAAGCTGAAAATTATGAGTGATGACCTGGGCTGCTCAGTCAGTGGGATCCACTGTGGCCCAGAAGTCTCCATCATCCTCTCCCCATGAATGGCTCAGTATCCACAGTCCTAATTCTAGCATCTGGCTTCTAAATGGAAGAGCCTAATTTGGCTATTTTTATCTGTGAGGGACATGACAGCTCCAGAGAATGTATTACCCTTCCTTGCACTACTGTTTGAGAATGATGTCAATGTTATAAGGGGAAGGTGTCCATTCAGTCCATGAACTAGAAAACCTGGATTCATCAGTGAAAGTAAGTACATGATGCTGACTGGTCTGGAAATTGTAACTGAGATCTTGTTAAAATTATTTTTAAGGAACAAAAAGCTGAGAGGAATGAAGAGAGATGCATTATTTTCATCCCTAGGTGGCCAATCCTTAAAAGAAGGCTTCAAGGTTCAATTTAAGTTTTTGACAAGTTCATGGCTTTGATAAATAATTGATAAACTAAAAATAGGTAAAACTGTATATAAATAGCTGCCTACAAAGAAGCAGCAGCACACAAGAATTATTCCACTTCTTCATATGACTAGCATGAGGAAGGAACCTTGTGGACATTTTTGGGTTAGACCTCACTCTAAATCCAAACATTTTTATTCTGACAGAAGTAACTTCCATATTTAAATTAGTGAAACAGATAGTAAATGAAAGACATTTGGTAGGGGAAGATAAGTTTCCACCAGTGATGCCCATGTCAAGAAACTTCCTGGACAGACTAGATTAGCAGAAGAAAATATATTGTTCTATGTCAGGTTTTGTCTGCACACACAATGATCCTGGAGAAGGAAATAAAGGAGTTAAATTCTAAGAGGCTTTTCTGTGACAGAACGGGTATTCCTTGTCAAGGAGCACCACAGCACAGCTTCCTTGGGTAATTATGGGGAATGGGTTTCCTCTGTATATTAGAGACCATCTCCAGTTCACCTTGCTCTATTTCATTGTTGGAGGAACAAGAGGACATGAGGTAGGAGCCAACTGACAAAAAAATCACCTGCTTTTTTTTGGTTTTTTTCAAAAGCTTGTACTGGCAGGACAGGAACATTAAAATACAATTCTAGCTAGACAGAGATATTGTTGTAAGGGTAGAAAAAGGAAGGTAGATCCACAAGGACTAGAAGTATATCTAAATAATTTCTAACATTTTCAAGCTGAAAAGGAAGGCAAACATAACCAGGTGTCCTGGTTTTGGCTGGGATAGAGTTATTTTTCTTCCTAGTAGCTGGTACAGTGCTGTGTTTTGGATATAGGATGAGAACAATGTTGATAACCACCGATGTTTAGTTGTTGCTGAGCAGTGCTTACACTAGTCAAGGATTTTTCAGCCTCTCATACTGCCCCGCCAGCAAGGAGGCTGGAGGTGCACAAGATGTTGGGAGGGGGCACAGCCAGTACAGCTGACCCAAACTGGCCAAAGGGATATTCCATACCACAGGACGTCATGTTGAACAGAAACTGGGGGGAGTTGGCCAGCGGCCACGGCTTGGGAACTGGCTGGGCATTGGTTAGTAGGTGGTGAGCAATTGCACTGTGCATCACTTATTTTGTATATTCTTTTATCATTATTATTATTTCCCTTTCCTTTTCTGTCCTATTAAATTGTCTTTATCTCAACCCACGAGTTTTACTTTTTTTCTGATTCTCTCCCCCATCCCACTGGGGGGGAGTGAGCGAACGGCTGTGTGGTGTTTAGCTGCCTGCCAGGTTAAACCACGACACCAGCACTGGCAGAAGAATTAGGACCCAGCAAATATTTCAGTGATATTAGCAGTAATGGATCAATCCATTTTCCTATTTACACTCTGTGCAGCACAACTGAAGTTGATGAGCTTGCAGGGATATATCCGCAGGGAAAATCTGGCCGGGTGTATAAACACTACCAAATAATTGTGTTTATTTGAAGCATCCTACAGCCTTTTCATCTGCTGAGCCACAAACTGAAATCACAACGTTTCATTTAGGTTCAATTTATGCAAATTATGGCACATCCTAGAAGATAAGTACATATTTCTAATCTGATACAAAATGATCGACTTACATCAGAATTAAATCTCAGCTGGCAAATGTTGCATGATATGATTTGCTTTCTTCGATGAGGAAGAGGAACCCCAAATGTATGATTTATTACAGCTTTTTGAATTGGGTCCATCTGTAAAAAGAGAAGAAAAAGAAAAATAAAAGCTTTTGCTGTTCCACTGTATGCTATGTTATCTATAGTCTCAAAACAGATTCTGCATCATGCCATACCATACCCCACACTACAGAAAACTATTATTTTTCTTTGAAAATGAGTATTTCTTCTTCATGCAGTTTTACAGAGAGGTAATACAGAAAGGAACAAAGAAAAGTGTCATTAGCTATCTTGAAATACATATCCTTAGTTCAATTCTATATGCACCAATCTCCCTTTACTGAAGAAAGCTAAAAGCTGTAAATGCTGAACAAGTTTACCTATCAAAACACCAATTTACGTTTTTTATATCATAGAAAAGCCAGCTCACTAAATGAAATGCATATTTTAAATAAAACTACTAAGAAAAGGATCAATGGAAATGTGAAGGAGTATTATATACAAATAATTCCCAAATAACACACAATAGATCAGTATTATTAAAAAAATAACAATTTTCCAGGAACCAATAAATTAATCTTTTCCATAAAGTAACTTCTATACAACCTATGAAAAATCCAAATCCTCCAAAGATTATTTTCACAGCCATTTAGAAGCAACTATTTTGAATAAACCCTACTTTAAGGATGAATTTTGACTTTCATGAAAAGCATTATTCTGAACTAACCTGTACCAGAATGCTGATCTGTCAGTGTCTGTAAGTCAGGGTCCCATAAAAAAATGTACCATTTTTGGCAGAAAATTTCACAAAAGCTACTCAAGAGACCTTTTTACATGGAGGATTGAAATCAACTTCCCCAAATTCATTGGTCAAAATTATTTATATTTCTTTTTCAGAAGAAGAATTTGACAGCTATTTTTAAAATCTAGTAATAGCTTTACAGCAACTTGGTAAAACCACTGATAGTTTTTATCTTTAAATTGTATTGTTAAAAATTCACAGATTGTGATGACGCCTATACAATTAATTGTCTAACTCTGATGATAACCAGTATTCACACCGCATAATTTGTATGTGTCTTGAGAAAAAAAAACCTTTTTCTATGCTCATGTCCCCATGATTCACTTTTTTCTAGTCTGTTAGCAAAGGGGTTTTTGATAAATAAAGAATCAGAGCTTTTCCGTAGAGTAATCAATTATTCATGGAAGCTGTAATGGTAGACAGTCATGGCCTCTATTGCAGTGAATCCAGAACAGATCACTACAGAAATTTTGCATCACCTGACAGCTGTTCAGTGTCAGATATGAAATAGGTCATTAAACTAATTCCTGTTGAAAAGGAATTCAGATTGGTAAAAAAAAAGGAACAAGGAAAATGGCAGAGCTTTACAGAAAGGTTTGGAAGAAATGCTCAGTTTGAACATCCTCTTCAATTTGATATGAAAGAGAAATATCTCATACATTTGTGCAACCACCAGCATAAAAGAACACCAGTCCCAGGAACTAGGGATGCCACTGTAACATAACCCCAAAATAACACTGATGGCTAAGGTCAGAGTATAGCAAGCCCTGAAACACTACAGCATGCTGTGTAAGACTTTCTGCGGTGGACAAAGCATGTGCTAGGGGCACTCATTTTATTCAGTAACATGATGTTGAAAAAGCCCACAGTCCAAAAATACTATTGTATAGACCAGAAAGAACACCACCACACAGGACAGTAAACAGACAGTAACAACTCTTCTTTTTTCAACTGCTCCATTACCCAAGAGGTGACTTCTTATGTCAGCAGAACCAATAGACCTGTACCCTGAGATTTTCAACACTAAAGCATGACGTGGTCTTAATCGACGCTACTTCACTGCTGCTGAAGTTTGGAGAAATCTAGCCTAAATTTCTAAAGAAATTTAGGCACTGTTCTTTTCACCACTGCAGGTCTAAAATACTTAGGGAAACCTCAAGCTCAGATATATGAATAAGTCAGCGCATGGTAACAAGAAATTGTGCATTCTTTATTCCAGTGTAACTGTTTGCCTTCATATTAACCACAGTCGTGAGATACTATTAGTTTAGCCTTCAGTGTTAACGTGTTAAACTCTTTCACATTATCTCACAAGTGCCGTAAGTTAAGAAAGCCAACAAAGAAGCTCTCTAAGGGTTATATGAAAGGTACCACCATGATTCATAAGACGGAACAACTGATTTTTTGAGTTGGATGTATCCATCTTCACATTAAGAATTCTAGCTTCTAATGGGGTTGGATTTCTGGGTGAACATTGAGAATGAGACAAATAGTTTTTCAGAATTGAGAAAACTCATGAATGTGTGGAATAGTTGGTCTACTTTGTATTTAATTTTATTTTGGTCTCATGGAAAAATGCAGAGTTTCTTTCCTAATCACTCCACAGATTTTCTCTTGTTTATCTGCTGATACAGAAATCCATCTGCACACTTCTCTTTCTCTTTCTAAAGATGCAGACTTCTAGATACACAGCTACATGGCTTTATTGTGAACTGGATGATTTGTGTTTGTGGGTCTAAATGAAGAAGTGTTCTGGGTAGCCTCCAAGTTGATTAAGAAAAGCTGCTTCAAAGTAAGAATCCCTTCTCTGCCAACTGCTCTTTGATATTGCAAAGCAGAATTAAACTTCAAAACTTAGCCCCAGATTCTAATAAAGTTGGGGCAGAATGCTGTGGTATTTGACATTATTATTTTTTCCTGGAGATTTTGTTTGGGAAACACCACCAATCCATAAATTTCAAATAAACATCCAAAAGCACCAGATAAGCCTCCAGAAGTTTTATGCAGGAAATTTGAGAGAGGTAACAGGATACCTAGGTGCAGCATGATAAGCACTCAGATCTCACAGACACTGGAAGACAGAGAGGAGCCCTGCTGAGAGTCAGAGGAACAAAGAGAGGCAGCTGATTGCCAGAAAATAGAGAGCAAGGATTGCAGGGAAGTATAAAGAGGGAAATAATATCATGTAGCTGAGATAATCAGCAAGTGGTGAGATACTTAACAGAATCTCCAAGCACTTCTAGGCTCACTGAATGTTACTAATTACACATATAAATTGTATTTCAACTTATGTAAATGGTATTAGCTTTCAAAATAAAAGTTATCATGATAAACTTTTATAAAATCTGCTTTTTACTCATTACTAGTGCTATATTACAATCGCTGGGGTTTTATTTTATTTCTTAGATGCAACTGATTTAATTTACTCCCATTTACAGTGAAGGACAGAGAGGTTTGCAATTCACATGAAAGATACAGCTGTCAAAGCTGTGCAGGAGAGCAAGGTTTGCAAGGTGGCCCTTTACTTCCTCTCGCCAATGTGTTTGCACTGTAAGTTACAACACAAAGAGGGTGAGCTGCCCTGTGACTTGTTCACTACCTTTTGCTTTTCTACTATCCAGCACTAGGTATATCTTACTATGTAAGGCAGGCTGTGTCACACTTTTCCTTGTGGTCAGTCTAGGGGTAGCACATTGCTCAAGGTTCACTGCAAACCACAAGGTAACTGGTAGTTTGGGCAATGAAGATAAATATGAAAGGTTTCCTATTTCATTCAATTAATTTTTGGTTTCAATACATAAAATGCACAGCAATAATATCTTCTATGTTTTAATTATTCAAGCTGAAATTCGTGGCAACATGGTATTATTTACTTTCTTTGATCAAATACTGTACTCCCTTCCCAAGATCTTCAGGGCCTTACCATACTTCAGCAAAATCCAGGCTTAAACCAAGGGCATGGCAGAAGTTGCCCCCTTACTCCATTTTTTTAGCTTTGACCTTACCCCTTTTCGTTTGGTTTTGCTTGCTTGTTTCAAATTCAACCTTGTCAGCCCAATGACCTTAGCCACATTCTTCTTTGTTCTTGTGCTTACCATAAAGCATGAAAGAGCTCTTTATTTTATGGACTGCAGGTGAAAGGAGTGGCTTTTGCATGAACTTTTCTGGATGAAACATCTACCACAAAATCACCAAGAAGTTGACCCATGTTATCCTAACTGCCTGGGCAACTTTTCCAGAATCGCCATAGCTGCTATCTTTGAAGGCCGTCTGTAGCCAAGTCTCCATCTCATTAAATTTCATTAAATATCTGCAGAAGGCAGAACCCGGGCTGGTAAATTTCACCTACAGAGAAATTTGATGCTTTGGAAATGTAAATTTTACATAATTTCCACAAATAATTACTAAGTGTTCTTTTTTTTTTTTGCTGAAACTGAAATTCAAGCACATAGCTCTTCCTGAATTTCAACAAATTTTTAATATATATGATTTTTATTAATCCTTTTTATGTGACTTCTTATCCCAGAGGCATAAGAGTATGCCTAAGTTAAAAACAACAACAACAAACTGATAGCAAAGGAAAGCATGCAAGTTTGATCCATAAAGGCTCCAATCACAAAAGGATATAAACCGAAAGGAGTTATATTTATTTTATTTTTTTAATTGTGTATTAAAACCAAGGGGCATGACATGAGCGTTTCAAATTCTTGAGGTCGGCAGTAAACTAATGGAGTTGCACTAACATATATAAATAAAAGCATCCAGGTCAAAGGGTGAAGATAATGCGGATGTCCAGAGCCTGTTCAGAACATATGGTAGGCCTAAAACAACCAAATAAGTACGAAAGTATTTTCACCTCAAAGCCAAAGAGATTAGCTGCAAAAGATTGACTCAAATCACTATGGTCCTATACTAAGTGAGCAGAAAAACGCATCAGGTCATTGAAGCTCTCAGGAAAAAATTGCTGTAGACCATTTTAGTGGTAATTTACAAAAAAATTACCCACCAAAAGACTGACCTCCATTACTCGAATAGGTAAGTGAATTCAGTGACAAAGCTACCAACACGTCTCAGAACTTCTTAAAGTCCAGATGCTAACACAATGCAATGTTACAATGAAAAATAAAATGGAATGATATCCTGAGTACGGTTTCGTACCGTAAGTCTGCATTTCTACAAACATATTTAATTGTAAGTACAAAAATTAAGTCAAACAAGCACACTGTAATATTATTATACTTGCAGGCAAGGTATTAATATTCCCACATGTGAGTTG